AATTGATGTTAAACCATTACCTTTTCTTCCAAAGTTTCAAACTCATGATTCAAATTATTCAATTCTTTTTCCAGACCATTCATTTTTGATCTATGATTTGAAATAGCAGAATGATAGTGGAGCAACTGATTCTGAAAGGAAAACACAAAGCTAATCTCATTTTGGAGTAGAAATGTAGATTAAGTCCCATCAACATGATAAATTAAATGACTCATTTAACAAGAGTAATGTCAGTTCTATAGGCAGAAAATGTGGCTCTTTGAAACAGATCCCATGAAGAATCTACTTCCTGATAGATATTGTGATATGGCTCTAAAATTAAGGAGCTGTGCTAGTTAGCTGTCTGTCACTATAACAAAGACCCAAGATAACTAATGTAAAAAAGTTGACTTTGGCTCACAATTTAAGAGGTTTCAGGCCATGACTGGTTGGTCCCATTGCTTGGGCCTATGATGAGGCAGCACATCATGGCAGAAACATGTAGTAGTGCAAAATTTCTCACCTCATGGTAACCAGGGAGTGGAAAACAGGAAGTAGAGACTGAGGTCTCATAATCCCTTTTGAGGTCATGACCCCACCATCCTGAAGACCTCCCACTAGGCCCGGCTTCTTAAAATTGCTACTACCTCCCAATAGCATGACTTCAGGGAACAAGCCTTCCACGCCTGGATGGGCCTTTGGGGGACATTTAAGGTCCAAACTACAGAAGCAGCAAATATAAAAAACCTGAAAGGAGATGCTTTACTTAAATTAATGATCTAGCCTTATAGAAATAAGGGTGATACTACTTATTTGATGTTTTCATTTCCAGATTCTATACTAACATTCATTTTTAAAAATCTGTAACCAGTCCAATTATTAAATACAGGATGATCAAAAATTTTAAATTAATTTTTATAAGATAATATAACAGGAAATATAAAAACAATTTTATCAAATGTATTCAATAATTTTTCTGTGTATGGTATATCTTAGAACATTCAATACACAATGCAACATTACAGTCTGGACAGTAGTATCTAGTCTCTTTCCAAATTCTTTTTGCATTATTGTCTTCCTTTGAACAACACACTATGTATTGCCATGTTGGCCTTTCCTTTTGTTTTCTGTGAGTGGTATAATTTCAATAAAATGTCTACCCACTAAATGTAATGGTGAAGATGTCGATGATGGATGTCCTGGTTGGTGTTTTGCTAGCCTGTATTT